GCACACTTTGTAAATAACATATCTGCACACTAATAAACATATCTGTACATTTATCTAAACAATTAAATTTTTTCCTATACTTCTATTTCTGTATATAGTACATTATTCAATTTTTCTTTTTTTATTATATTAGTGTTATATTACATCCCTACTGTGTTATTCCTATGTATGTCTGCACTATGTTTGTACTTTCTTCTGCACTGGAAGCTCCTGTCGTCAAGTCAAATTCCTTGTGTGTGTAAACATACTTGGTAATAAAGCTCTTCTGATTCTGATTAAGATAAACTCGTTTAAGCTTTGCCAGTTTAAACATGTAAGACCCAGAGGACACGAGCTCGCGCGCGCAGTGAGAAGATTTGTGCGTGCGCTCAACCCAAGCATGCAAACCTGCGCCTCAGAACTCGCGCAAATATTAATCTTTCTCTGAAGTATTGTGTTTAAATGGACAAATTCACACAAAAATTATGTCAAAATGCCTGTCTTGGTAAGTATCCTATAGCAGACATAGCCGGCTGAACGTACTGTATCAGTGCACTGGATCAGCGCATTCTCTTAAAGTGACAGCACTTTCTTAATATTAATCAAACCGCAACAACAAAGAAATCACTCACTGCTCTTGATTGAATAGCTTTTATAACTTTAATAAAGATTAATCTTTAATTTATACAGTCAAATTGAACATGTTGTTTTACATTTCATTACTTTATTCCATTTCTGTACCTAAAAACTAATGTTAGACCTACCTCATTTTATTTTATTTGTATCTTTACTTTATTTTGTATCTATTGTATTTATTTGTGCTGTTGCTTGTAGTTAGATAGATCATTCTTATTTTCTTTATTTTTATTTGACAGTATAGTTTTTGCCTAAACATAGCACATACCGAACTGTACAGAAACAATGACTCTAAAACTGTGATACAAACCGAACCGTGAGTAAGTTTAACCGTTCCACCCCTAATAGCTAATAAAACTAACAGAATGAACAATAAATGGTATTTATTGCTTCATAAAATGTTTTATTTCTCCTTAAAACACTCAATGTGGGCGGACATTTGTTGTGTATAAAACCACTCACTTGTTAACTATCCCCCTCTCTCTCTCTATCTCTCTCTCTCTCTCTCTCTCTCTATATATATATATATATATACAATACCAAAATACAATATACTTCATTACTGTATTTATGCAAATAAAATGTTTCTTATTTTCTTTATTTTTGTTTGACTATAGTTTTTGCCTAAACATAGCACATAACGAACCATACCAAAACTCTGACTCTTAAACCGTGATACAAACCGAACCGTGAGTAAGTTGAACCATACCACCCCTAGTATATACACATACACACGTGTATATGTACAGTGGTGTGAAAAAGTGTTGGCCCCCCTCCTGTTTTTTTAATTTTTTGCATATTTGTCACACTTAAAAGATTCAGATCATCAAACTAATTTTAATATTACACAAAGATAATGCAAGTAAATACAAAATGCAGTTTTTAAATGATTATTTATTTTATTAAGGGAAAAAAGCTGTCCAAACCTGCTTGACCCTACATGAAAAAGTAATTGCTCCCGAAATCTAATAACTGGTTGTGCCACGCTTTGCAGCAACAACTGCAATCAAGCGTTTGCGATAACTGGCAATGAGTCTTTCACATCGCTGTGGAGGAATTTTGGCCCACTCTTCTTTGCAGAATTGTTTTAATTCAGCCACATTGGAGGGTTTTCGAGCATGAATGGACTGTTTAAGCATCTCAATCGGATTTAAGTCCGGACTTTGATTTGGCCACTCCAAAACTTTAATTTAGTTTTTCTTGAGCCATTCAGAGGTGGACTTGCTGGTGTGTTTGGGATCATTGTCCTGCTACATAACCCAAGTGCGCTTGAGCTTGAGGTCACAAACTGATGGCCGGACATTCTCCTTCAGGATATTCTGATAGAGTGCAGAATTCATGGTTTCATCAATTATGGAAAGTTGTCCAGGTCCTGAAGGTGCAGAGCAGCCCCAGATCATCACACTACCACCACCAAGTTTGACTGTTGGTATGATGTTCTTTTAATGAAATGCTGTGTTGGTTTTACGCAAGATGTAACGGGACACACACCTTCCAAAAAGATCAACTTTTGTCTCATCAGTCCACAAAATATTTGCCCAAAAGTCTTGGGGATAATCAAGATATGTTTTGGCAAATGAGAAATAATGTGGTTAATCACAGTTCTTTCATGATTTAACAGGAGGGAGCAATTAATTTTTCATGTAGGTTTGGACAGCTTTTTTCCCTTAATAAATTAAATCATCATTTAAAAACTGCATTTTGTATTTACTTGCATTATCTTTGTGTAATATTTAAATTTGTTTGATAATCTGAAACATTAAAGTGTGTCAAACGTGCAAAAAAATAAGAAATCAGGAAGGGGGTCAACACTTTTTCACACCACTGTATAGGTGTATATATACACACACTTCTGAAATATATTGTTTAAATATATTACTGTATTTATTAAAAATTCTGATTATTATTGTTAGTTCCCTAGAGAAATCAAGTCTTGAGAAGAGCATTTCGTGAAAATATTACACTATATATTCATTATATTTTACTTTACCTATTAGTCTTAATTATTTAATTTGTTTAAATTAATCTGTTATGAAACATGTTATGACAGCCACTGTGTAATTGAATATATTTTAACAAATAGAAATTTTATAATTTATAAGTTAATTTAAAAACTGCATTTTGTGCAATTTACATGTTTGCATACATTTTTGATGTTGATTATTATATTTTTAAATAAATAGTAATTAAATTTAAGTTTGGGTTAAGTTGTTAATTGTAATCTTATAATATAGAGCTCCCCATAGTTTAAAGCATAAGTTGAGGTAGATTTTTATGACTAAGAAAAGTTTAATTATAACAATGTATTTAAAGAAAGAGCAACTTGTTCAGTAAACCACTGTTTATTAAAAAAAAAAAAAAAAAAGTTTAGTTTTCCCCCCTGCTGTACCGAAACGGTGACGTTAAAACCGAGGTACGTACCGAACCGTCATATTTGTGTACCGTTACACCCCTAATGTATAAGAGATCCGATATCCTCGCGCAGACCTTTCAGATATATTTGCATTACACTGGCTCGTTCACATGTGGTGGTATGTAAGATGTTTGTTTACATCAGGCAAGTGGCCGCATAAGCGGGAAAATTACGCAGTGTAGTCTTTATCCAGTCATAAAAACAGAATTCACAGTTTAACGCGGAATGTCACGGAATTAGTTAATTAATCAAACGTAGGTCATTACACTTAAATCACGATATGGACTAGTATCTGTAAATATTAAGCCACAAAAAGTCGATTTCAATATGAATCCTGCATGTTCTGCCTGTCTCTATTTATGAGTGGCGCAGATGTGCGGTTTCATTTACTACACACACACTGAAGCACGCCTGACACTCGCGGTGATTTCAGCGTCTGCCGTCTCACTAAATGAGGACGTAAACACATGAACAACATCTCCAGAACTGCTCTGAGAGTCACTTCATGAGCATTTTAGCGTTTGATTTGAGTAAAACTAGCATCATATCTCATACACAGAACTGTAAAGGTATTCACGGCAACCCGTCAAAATAAAAGTTCGGTTTGATTTGAAGACATTGTGCCTATAACTATTTTTCAGTAGAATGTACATAGCCTAGACAATTTACTACTACTAAAATGAAACAAACATTACTTTTTAAGGAACAATCACACAAAACATTTCTTCCATGTTTTAATTTTAATAGTAAATCCCCTTTGTTTGCCAAAAAAATCTTGTTTGCTTAATTTTCAATAATTAAAAGATAAATGATAAATTAAATTAATGTTTTATGCATTCATTTGATAACCAGAATTTTTTTTTTAAAAAAACAACACAGAATTTCTGAGGGGAAAAAATATTCATAAGGCTACTTTAAGAAAAAAATGAATAAATTAAGTTGTTTTATGCATTCAAATAATTAGACATGCTAAAACACAGAATTTGGTAACAATAAATAATATGGTGAGAAAAAAAAAAAAATTCATAGGGCCCTAAACATGTAATTTTTTTTAAACTTTGAATAAATGTGAGGGGAAAAAATATTCATAAGGCTACTTTAAGAAAAAAATGAATAAATTAAGTTGTTTTATGCATTCAAATAATTAGACATGCTAAAACACAGAATTTGGTAACAATAAATAATATGGTGAGAAAAAAAAAAAATTCATAGGGCCCTAAACATGTAATTTTTGTTAAACTTTGAATAAATGTATGTGAAAATGTATAAGTTTCATGATTTTAATTAATAAGAATAAAAGACAATTTTTTCCTATATAGTTCATCATTGAGGATTTCTTTAAAAAAGTCTAAAAATCTTGTCTCGTCTCGTTCTCGTGAACCCAGTCTCGTGTCTCGTCTCGTCTCGTGGGATAAGTGTCTCGTCACACCCCTAATTATTATCAATCAATCAAATCTATCAAAACTATGAAATGTAAACATCTAGTTTTAATTAATCATCATCAAGCATCAGCTCTGTTGAGGGCAGATTGTTCATTAATGAGGTGCAGCAACTAAAATACTAATTTACATTTTAGGTGGGGAATTTTGAGAGACAAGTGAATTTTCTCAAACACATCTGCACTCACTGTAAGCGTGCTGTAGGCGGTTCTAGATGAGCAGAGCCTCACGTACTGTGTGTTTCCTGCAGTGTAAGATACTGGAGCAGCGCATGGAGCAGGGGATGGTGTTCACCGAGTATGAGCAGGTGCCTAAGAAGCGGCCCAACTGTGAGTGCACCATCGCTCTGATGCCCGAGAACAGCGACAGGAACCGCTTCCAGGACGTCCTGCCCTACGACGACACACGTGTGGAGCTGGTGCCCACCAAAGAGAACAACACAGGCTACATCAATGCATCGCACATCAGGGTGAGCTGTAGATATTTTACGATATGACCATGTATGGACACTTTGCATTGATGCTTTAGATCATTGAATTATTATTTAGGATTAAGGCTCAAAGTGCTGAAACCCTGCTGTTTTTATAATACTTTTAATAATCATGATAATATTTATGTATGTGTTTATTTAACATTATTATTATGAATAACAATATTATTAATATTCTGCCCCAAAACTCACCGTGCAGATAAAACCGTATTCTTAGAAACAAGTAATCTTGTAAGTTTTATAATAATAATAATAATTATAATTATTAATATCGTTTATAATAATAATTATTATTATTATGCCCTAAAGCTTTGTATAATATAGTTAAGATAATAATATTTTTAACCATGTTAAACTAGAGTATAAAAACTAATATAATATAATAAATTATTTAATTTATTTGGAAGAAATACAATGAGATAATAATCTATTGTTATTAATAATAATAATATTATTATTATTATTAAAGCACGTTGAACTAGAACATAAAAAACTAAAGTAAAATAATGATACTAATATAATATAATATAAATATATAAAATAATACATTATTTAATTTATTTGGGAGAAGAAAAAATTATAAACTTATTTATAATTTTAAATGTTACAAATATATGATTATTATAATTATGCATGATCATACAGCACTGTTGAACTTCACGAAATTAGGTAAGCACATGTGTCTTATGATCCTAAATAAGCATGCAAAATTTTATGGATATCAGGCATACAGTATAATAGTCATAGAAGTAAATTTATATATTTCTATTCTAAATTACCTGAAAATTATTTTTCTTTTTATTTCTGATTTAGGTTCGTTCAGGCTTGCTAAATTGCGCATAATTTATCTTTGTATGCATGAACTTGAAGGTCTTAAAGTGCTTGAACACCAAAATTGCTTATTGCAGCTATATTTGTGCTGTTTTCAATCAGATTAATCATCTTTTATATTGTGTTTTCTGTGTTTCTCTGTTGATCAGTTTACGGTCAGAGGTAAAGAGTGGAGTTACATCGCGTCTCAGGGTCCGCTCTCCAGCACCTGCCAAGACTTCTGGCAGATGGTTTGGGAACAAGGAGTCGCTATCATCGCAATGGTTACAGCGGAGGAGGTGAAAGTCAAAACATCTGAGATCTGGTTATGTACAGTGGCTATCTTCTATCTGATGTATAAGCCTTTGCATCATTGAACCGGCTTGTTTTGTGTCCCGTCCTGCAGGAAGGGGGTCGTGAGAAGAGTTTCCGCTATTGGCCTCGTCTGGGCTCTCGCCACAACACTGTTACATACGGGCGATTTAAGATCACCACGCGCTTCCGCACGGACTCTGGGTGCTACGCCACAACGGGCCTGAAGATCAAACACCTCCTCACGGGACAGGAGCGAACCGTCTGGCACCTGCAGTACACGGACTGGCCCGACCACGGTTGCCCGGAGGACTTTAAAGGCTTTCTCTGTAAGTACAACACAGATACAGGCCTTTCTTTATGCCAAACCATACTGCTTATGGCACTCCAGACTAGTGATCGACCGATATTGATATTTTATAACCGATATCGGGCTCAAATCAAATGTTTATGTGCCCGATAACCGATATGCAGGACCGATATTTATTTGCTGTTATGACTGAATGAAGTAAGAACATACTTCACTTTGGTTTTTCCTCTTTTCAGTCATTTTTTTTTTTTTTTAAGTGTTGAAAATTAGCAGTCTTTCATGTTAAATTGAATCTTTATATTGCAACAATAAAAAACATTTTATTTATAAAAAGCATAAACAGCAACAACACTGATATTAACAATAAGCAAAATAAATGTAGAATGTCTAATGTTTTCAAATGGAGAAAATAAATAAAGGACAGGAGTCATATCAACTTCATTTTAAACTACAGTTTTAGTAGGTTTATAAGCGGTTTAATAGCTACAGAGTAGAGGTCTGCAAGCCCGTCGGGTCCCGGCGGGTCATTTTAATTTGTTAGACTATTTTATCTACAGCTCCGTTAGAGGTAGAATTCTTTAGTGAAATAAAGATGATATTTATTGAAATGAATTCGAATTAATTAAGGAGAGAGAGAACGAACGAACGAACGCATGCACCCACGTGCGAGCGAGCGATTGTGAAGCATTGCAAACAAGCTTGTCAGTTTAATTACAAGTTATCACCTCATTGCTGAGAAATATATGTAGCATTTAGCTGTTGTATTTTCAAAATTCACGGGGCGGGGGTTGAAAACCAGCTCCTGAATGTGCAATTTCTTACCTATAAAAAGTTTCCATCTCAATAAAATGCGAGCGCATACAGCATGCCGGCATTAAAAATCTTTGAGCAAACGTGTCGCCCTTAATTCAAATTGTATATAGTTGTTTATATATTATACATATTTATGCACAATGTAGTTGTATGTACCATATATAAACTTTAGCATTTTATATATATATATATATATATACAGGTGTTGAATTACTGAAATAAATGAACTTTTCCACGACATTCTAATTTATTGAGAGATATATATTATGTACTAATTTGTATATATGCACTAAAAATTTTAAAATGATAAATGCAGTATGTAATTACTGTTAAATGAAAACATAATGCATAATACATAACATGTTTAATAACGAAAATGTGTGTGGGTGTGTGTATATATATATATATATATATATATATATATATATATATATATATATATATATATATATATGTGCACAATTCAAAATAAATAATTATGTATATTTTTCTTAATTCAAAGTTTATATATATATATATGCAAAAATTATTTAAACATGCTGTATTTGATTACAGCTACATATCTGTGTATACACAAAATAAATGCATAATGCATAGCATTTTTTAAATATGCAGTATGTAGTTACAGCTCTTTCTTGACACAATGCCTACAAGTCATGTAAAAATCTTATTGTGTTATTTTAATTTTTTTACATTATCATAGTTTTATAATTATGAATATAATAATTTTAAACGTAATTATGTATATAAATAATAATATCAAAAAGTTTTTTTTTTTTGTCCTTCTGATTTTGGGGTAAAGCGTGAAAAAGTATTTTGATGATTTTCGTTTCATGCATGATTTTAAGCTTTG